TGTATACTACGGAAACATACTAGAGATTTTGGAAATCAAGTATCCGGGCATGGTTGGATTGCGTTGTACTGTTTTCTATTGTGATTGGTACGACAACACTCCGGATCGAGGTGTGAGGACAGATGCATTTGGTGTTACATCAGTACATTCGAGGCGAAAGTTGCAATATTATGATCCTTTCATTCTTGCTTCTCAGGCGAACCAGGTAATTAAATATATATATATATATATATATATATATGTTAATTATTAAAATATGTATTAATATATATACTAAGTTAAAAATTTACAAATTTTTTTTTACAGGTTTGTTATATCAAGTACCCCCGGATTAGGAACAGAGATGATCCATGGGTCACTGTTACGTCACTCAACCCGAGGGGCCGAGTTCAGGGAAGTTCTGAGCTGGAAGACCCACTACAAACAAACACATCGGGTAACTTAAGTGCAGTAGAAGATGTAGCTGCAGTTGACCTCGTCGTCGATTTTACCGACTTTGGAGAGGAAGCCATCGTTCACATAGAGGATGAACCAGAGATTGGAGAGTTTCACCAAGATCCAGATTCAGATTTATCTGGTGATGGTGATGATGATGACTCGGAAACAGAGTAGTTATCAACAAATATTTTTTTTTTTTCTAAAAATATTCCGAGGAAATTCCGAGGAAAAGCAATATATCCTCGGTACATTTGGCATTTAGGGATTTGAGTTTAGGGGTTATCTTCCTCGGAATTTCCTCGGAATTTTCCGAGGAAATTCCGAGGACGCATGTACTTTCCTCGGAATTTCCTCGGAATATTCCGAGGAAATTCCGAGGAAGCAAGACATTTGATCCGAAAATGACATTTTTCCGTTTGCAAATTGAACATTTGACTTAAATTAACCTTATTTACTGTCTTAGATTGATTATAAAGTAAAATGCTGATGTGTTTTAAAGAATTAAACTCTCTTCCGATTATATAAACGAAATTCCTTAAGAACAAGATAAATACTTATACACTTTAATGAACGGAAACGACAAGACGTGTACTCGTATTCTAATTTTGTAATTTCATGGTTTATGGGCATCTATTGAAAGAATCTTCAATGTTTTCCATTTAAAAACTGTCAAATTGTTCAAGCAATGGTGTACCGTATCAAAAATTTAGGTTTTGAAACCCCAAACAAGGGTTCCTCGGAATTTCCTCGGAATTTTCCGAGGAAATTCCGAGGAACCCTCTCACCAATAGGAAGACATG